CAACACGGATACGACCAGAAACACCTAATATCGGCCAATACAGGAAGACGAAACCGCTCAGGTGCAAACCCAAATAAAAACTCCCGCTGACAGTTCACACACAGGTGCACACACGTACACACACACACACACACAAACAAACTGAGCTGACATGTACTAACAAAAAGTGACCAACACACAGGCGAAGCTGCACGCTCACACTGACGCACACTCTACGTAGTCACACTGGCGAGAACTCACAAAAAAAAAAAACTCACACACAGTCACGCATGTACACCTCGCACACAGAGGACACACAAACCAGATGCTTGGACCCCGACACACGCTCAGACCTTGAGGCCAGTGTTTTGGAGAGGGGCCTCTGTGCTGCGGCCCTGACTTCCTGACTCCTCCTCCTCCTCCTCCTCCCTCCGTACTCCTGTTCCACAGTTGCTGTGGGAGACGCTGCTGCAGCTCCCGTTGCCAAGGAGAAGGCGGCTGGCTGTTTGAACAACAATGGCGGCCTTGTGAACATTCCAACTGTAGGTACTGACGGCCCATCAGCCACAGCCTCGACACACGCGGCGCACACACCGACGCCACGCCACTGTACCTCTCGGATTCTTGGACTCACGCCTGAACGCAACCCTCTCACAATCAGGCACGCACAAAAAAAAACACCCACATCTGTGCACGCTAAGAAATAATGACTTCTGCTGTGAGGATAAGAAACCCTTCTTTCCCTCTCTGTCTACCTGCATCTCTCGACCATCTCTCTCTCTCTCACACACACACACACACACACACACACACACACAATCTCACACACTCAGTGCGCAGTACATTCATCCATCTTCCCCCTTTCTCCCCGACTACTCTGTCTTTTTCTCTTATCTCTTTCTCTCTCTCCTCCCCCCTCCACAGCCTCCCTGCTTTCACTCGCTCACTCTCTCTCCACTTGCTCATCCCTGCCTCTCTCTCTCTCTGTCTCAGGAAGTGTGTGTTCCCACACACACACACACACACATGTGGAGGACACACGTTCACACAGACGGAGAGAAGCACACACACACACAGTCTCTTTCTCTCCTGGAAGGTAGCGAATCTTTTCCTCCCTTGGGGGCATGCACTTCCTCAGAGAAAGAGGGAATGGGGAAAGAAAAAAGGGAACAAAAAAAGAATATACGAGTACAGCGGGTACACGGAGGAAGAGGAGCAGGGAGGAGAAGAAGGAGAGGAAGGGAGGCGAGGAGGATAGGAAAGGGAGGACGGCGCAAACTATATTCACAGCGGGGATTTATAGACGGACCCCTGAGTGCTCTGATTATCTGTTCATATTGATGGGACGACATTGAAGCCACGCTGATGGCGCGTTGAGATGGTGCTGAAGCCAAATTGAGTGTGTGTGTGTGTGTGTGTGCGTGTCTGTGGTTGGGGGGGGGGTAAAGGGGGTGTTGAGGAGAATCACTAACAAGTCTCTGCTTATCCTCTGACTCACTGTTTTAACACACACACACACACACTGGCACATGTGTACGCACTCACGCGCCGCTAAAAACAAAGACAACTCTTACGCTCAAGCACAAGGAATCAGACACACAGTACATGTGTAAGTATGTTGATCTGAAGATAGATGTGTGTGTCTGTGTGTGTGTGTGTTATGTGTGTGTGTGTGTGTTTGTGTGTGTGATATGTGCCAGACGCCGAGTGATATACTTTTGTGTGTGCGCGTGTGTGTTCTTATGTGTGTCTGCGTGTTTTCGCCGTCTCTCGCTCCTCTTTAATAATTGAGCTGATTCTGTCCAGCTTGTTAGGGAGGTACACAGCAGCTTCACACTCCCTCTTTCTCTCCTTCTCATCCTCTCGCGCGCTCCATCCCTCCATCCCTCCGCTCTCATCCCTCCATCTTGCCGCTCTCCCTTCATTCATCACTCCTTTTCTTTCCTGACCCCTCCGTCCTCTCCCTTCCTCGCCTCCTACTCTCGGTCCCTTCCCCCCAGCTCTCCTCTCTCTCTTTCTTTGCAAATCCCTCCTGTTCTTTGACCTCTCCCTCGCCTCTCGCAGTTTCACCCCCCCCCCCCCCCTCCCCCATCCTCCCCCCTCCACCCCGCTGCCCTCCATCATCCCTCTCCTCTTGTCTCCCTCTCTCCATCCTCTGGAGGTGAGAGGTCGGAGCTTCCTCTCTACACTGTCAGACTCAAACCGGCTGCAACCAGCCCAGTGGAAGGGTGGGGGAGGAGGGGGGATGGGGGGGGGGGGGGGTGAGAGGAGGAGAATAAGGAGGTTGGTGATGAGAGACATTAAGGTGCAGGAGAGAGGGAGTGGAAAAAGAAGAGGGGACTTAATGGAGGACGGGGGTTATAAAGAGGGAAGGAGGAAAGAGAAAAGAGAAGGGGAGCTTTCTTCTATTGAGTCAGTGCCTTTGACGAGGAGGAGCCGTTTTATGAATGTATCGTGTGGGAGGTGACAGAATGGAGCATACAAACACTGCTTACACAAATGCTAAATGGTTGGTGTGTGTGTGTGTGGGGGGGGTGAAACTGTGTGTCTATAGATGTGTGTGTGTGGGAGGTGAACCACGTTTACCTGCCTGTGGAGAAAGCTATTTCACTTGAGGTGACGATTAGATTAATAGGAGTCATAAAAGACAGGACCCTTCACTTCAAGGACAAAGTGTTGACTGACAGAAGCTCGTTGCATCGCGGGAAAATGTTAAAAGTTTTAGAATAACCCTGAAACGTCCAACTACTCGATATTGAAAATAAGACGACTTATTGGATATGAAGATGTTCTTTAAGAGAAGAAAATGGAAACATCTGTGATTTGGAAACGTTTCTATAAATTGCATTCGAATATTACGCTTAAAGCCATCTTCAGACAGCTCTGAGCCATCGGGATAGAGCCACATTTTGTCTCTATGAATAGATTGTTTATATCAATCTGTGACCTAAAATCAATTTCATGCGTACTTCGGGAGGCATTTCATGTGCTGAGTAATAATGGACTGACACGTTCAGCATGCGGGTGTAAATTCCCTTTTCTTAAATGATAGTAATACATCTACAGGGAGGAGTTCAATGAGAGGGTGCCACAATGATGCTCAGCTGACTTTCACCTAACATCTGTAACTCCCCCCCAAAGAAGCTCTTTGTTGCATTTGACAGAATCTTGCAAACAGCTAGAAGCCAAATTCCCAAAATGAGATGCTTTGTAGTTGTAAGGGGAAGCCTGTGACTGTCATCCTTTATGATTCAAGTCTGCTGACAGGTTTGTGTGGTCTTATAAGACCGCAAAGACCTTTAATAACTGATTGAGTCATAAACCTCCATTCAACAGGTTGCACCATCCTCAGCATCCCTGAAAACTTCCCAAAACAAAAAGGACATCAGTTGTGTCCACTCTGTCGTCTTCATCTCCATGGCGACCTCCGTATCAAGGGGACATCTGACTACAGCAACCTCACATGCTGATAGGCAGAGAGAGAAAACAGGTGATTGGTTGAGCTGTCGGTTGTCATCTCAGCAGGGTGTATCTTTGTGACACGGCAACACACACACACACACACACACACACACACACACCGGCTTGTCACTGTCATCAACCCACACGCCTACGAACTGCAGCAAGGCGCAAACAAAAGGTACTTCCATAGTGTGCGCACACTCAAACACACACACACACACACAGCTTTGAGACGAGCTGTGGAGTGTTAGGTGCACTGACCCTGCCAATGAGGACAGGAGGAACATCAACGGAGCTACAAGGCCGTTGCTATGACAACTAGGCCCGCTCACAGGTAGGAAGCACAATAGGCCTAAGCTGTTATATGTTCAGTTTCAGTTTCTCTGGTTCCTTCTCTCGCACACACACACACACACACACACACACAGGGCCATGCACTCAAGACAAGACTGACAGACAGAGGCTGCGTGCCAAGGTAAGGCCATTTCCTTTTCATTCCAGGCATTCAGGGGGCTGAAGTTATTATGTCCAAGTGGACGTGCCAGTAAGAAAAGTCACTCTTTAACCAGCGAAATGAGAGAGTGAGACTGGCTGAGTGACACACAGACCGACACACGGACTGAGCATCACTCTGCATACTAACGGCACACGCATTAGGGTAGCCTGTGCACGTCTCTGGGGGGGCCCTTAAATAACGAACTGTCACTGCCCAGACGTCGACATTGACTTCTCTCTCCCTCGCACTCTCTCTCCCTCTCCACGCACTCTCTCTTCCTTTGTCCCCCCCCCCCCACCTTACAGACGAGAGCTAATAATCACCACCATGAGCACGCCTCGTCTCTCCGGCACGTTGGCCCCGTTGCCACTGCAGGATGTGCTGCTGCTGTGTCCTGCCTAAGTGCCCTGACAACTCAGGGTGCTGCCGGGATGGAAACCGCGGCACCGGACGGATGCTCACCGGTAACCTTGGTGTCTCCTGTTTACATGTAGAGAAAACACCTGTCCATCATCGGGCGCTGGAGTCAGTCACACCTCTGGTATGTGTCACTGGTATGTAAATGCAGTATTAGAAAAGTCAAACCACAAAGGTACAGTCTATGGAAACAAGACAAGTGTGTGTGTGTGGTGTGTGTGTGTGTGTGTGTGTGTGTGTGTGTCACTACCTGGGGAGGCATCACGCTGCCCTGCCTACACCGTATGTAAATTCAGCAATAATAAAGGTAATGCGTGAGGATATCGTAAATACTCACAGGCTTCATTGCGCGCACATTTAACCAGATTACGTGTGCGTACGTATTGCGTGCGTGTTCGCGCGTGCGTGTGCGTGCGCACCATCATAGACGCTGCGTGCCAACAGTAAAGCCCAGATGACCCAGCAGCACGAGCAGCGCGAATGAAGGAGCTCCGTCTGTTGGCGGCATCGATGAGGTTAATGTAAAGAAAATACATTTAAATTTAAAAAAAAAAAAAGCGTAGCCAGAGGTGCGCAGCACAACTGGCTGAGAGGACGCGATGCAATTGTTGGTGTTGTGTACACAAGACGCTGCACGCACACTCACCGTGGGGGAGAGGGGGAGTCTGAGGGCTCTCGCTGGCGGAGCCGCTGCCGGGCTGTGGGTGACGGGGCTGTGGGTGACGGTGCTCCTCTCCTCCCCTCTCCCGGGTCAAGGAGCCTTGGGAGAGCAGCATGTCCCCGTCATTTGGGCTCCCCGCGTCGGATGGAGATAGCCCTCCCACATCAAAACGCGAACGCTGTCTCCTCCCGCCGCGCGGCTACAACGGGAGGAAAAAAAAGAAGAAAAAAAAACCCGCTCCTCTGGCTCACGTCAACATCTGCAACCAGCGAGGAAAGGATGGGCGAGCAGGAACACGATAGGAGGGGAACAAAAAAAGAAGCTTTTCATCAAAAAAAAAGGTGTGCAGGGAACGTTGGAAAAATCGACCGAGGAGCTCGTGCGTCTCTGCCTCTGCAATTCCAGCTCTCCGTCTCTCGTGCGCCCCACTGTCTCCGCTGTGCGTCTCCAACGTGCCTGGCTGTCAAAACCCATCCGGGCATCCGTAGCTGGCCTCGCTCTGCACCGGTGGAATTGTGGGAAGAGTAGTTCACTGACGAGCGAGCACGAAGGGAGGAGGGGTGGGGGTGGGGGTGTCAGTGAGGAGAGGGAGAGCCAGACAGGAGTGGGAGTGGGTGGGATTTCGAAGGGCTGCTAATAGTTTCCTGTGCCGATGATTGCAAAAGTCCTAATAATACTATCATATTTTATAACCTGTTAAAATAGCAAAGAGCTAAAGCTACAAATTACGGAGGAAAACTAAAGCAAATGCTGATGAGGTTCATTCGTTAATTCAATTTTGTTACAATGCTGTCTTTACAAAAGGTGTCTAAATATAAATAAAATGAGAGACGTCTTAAACCGGAAACGATTTTTATTATAATAACATAACAGGGAATCTCATAAAATCACTTTAAGGTTACATTCGATAGTCAAACAATACAGAATTTAAACACTTTGCCTTCAAAGCTCACTAACATTCCACATCGTTCCTCTTTATGTTTAATATCTCACCCTGCCTAACACTGAATGGATGGGAAACTGCATACATGTTAATACCAACGTCCTTGTGTTGCACAGATATATCTTAGTTAAGTTAAAACAGCAAAAGAGACAGTTCATACCAAATTGTTATTCAAGACAAACAAAGAGCATTCCTTACCATCTCTCCTCTCGGGTTCTACTAACAGTGTATGGAAGGTACTTAAATCGAAAAACCGCCTTTAACTTGACTTCTTTAAGGCACATGTTGCATGCGTGTTTGAAATCAGCTCCCCCATTCAGGTGATTGACATGGGTTAGTTCGACAGCCTTTTTTGATCATTGTAAGAGGACAACTCCTATTTTACCATCCAGTGTCTGCGTATACATGATCTCACAAGCTCACAAGGGTTATTTAATGCTGTCTGAAACCTGTTGCACCGTCTATAATTTCTCCATCAACATCATTTTCTCAGGGGGGGTTTTCTCAGTTTTGTTTCGACGCTGCTCCTCGCAGAGGCAGAAATCAAAAGGACCCGGACATTCGCGGCGGCTGAACAAATCATGTACCAACCGGACTTCCCCCCCACCTCGACACAACCATCTACATCTTCTTTCAGTTCCTAGTTGTCATGGTTACAGAGTAAAGCAACATTACTGCAAGGCCTGATCAGCAGAGATCCGACTACGCTCTTCAACGGGGTTGACTGATCTGTCATGAATGGGCCGCACTGCAGTGATCAATAACCAGAAGGAGGGAGCTGTCCTCAAATAATAAAACACAGCAATAATATGCATCTTAACGTGTGTGTGTGTGTGTGTGTGTGTGTGTGTGAGTGAGAGAGCGTGCGTCTGCACAATAGGGATACAAATACAATGAAGGCATATCGGTGTGTCTGCATGTTTACATCCGCGTCTGCCTTTCTGTCATCCGTTTAATGTCTGTCCATTTATTGCCCCACATCTGTCCTACACGTGTTGGGTCACAGGTTTTCTCCAGGCTGGTACTGCGGCTCTGTGGCCGTGAAGTAGTCCTCCAAGAAGGACTGCAGGTACTCAAAGGTGTGCCTCTCATCGGCCTCTCGCCTCCAGCACTGCAGCATCAGTTCATGGAGCGAGGCGGGGCAGTCCTGGGCACAGGGCATCCTGTATCCCCTCTCCACCTGCTCCAGCACCTCCCGGTTGTTCATACCTAAAGGACGGGGAGAGGGCGGGATGGGGCGGTGCATGCATGAGAGGGTTAGGAGAGAGAGGGGATGGATAACCTCACGACAGCAGTTATGAAAATCACACAAAGGACCTCGAGACACGATGAAGATCAGGATCAGAGTGGCCGGTGCTTAAAAAGAGGGTTTCCCTTTTCTTCTATAGAAGCGCTTCTGAGCAAGCCCCTGAGGCCCTAAACTCACTGAATGCTATGACGAAGTTTGGTCTGGTTGAAAATCTCAGTACTCTCTCCAAACCTGATCAGCCTGCTGCTATACAATTTGATCTTCTCTCAGTTTTGACAGTGAAGAGTTGAAAAAGGACTAATCCTGCAGAATTCTCACTACTGAGGAGGAACCTTTCACGGATGAGGAAACACTGAACCCGCAGGTTTTAACCGGTACCTGGGTACGGCACACGTCCCTTCGTGATGAGCTCGGTTAGTAGGATGCCAAAGCTCCAGACATCTGACTTGATGGTAAAGCGGCCATACAATGCAGCTTCCGGAGCAGTCCACTTGATGGGGAACTTCGCCCCTGAAACCATGGCAACACAGTGGAGATACATAATCGTATAATTAGGACAGGTTATATATAAAAATAAAGACGCGGAGGCAGACACTGTTAATCATCACTTTGTGCAATCCTTGCTGTCCCCATCCGGCTCTCTCATACCCGCTCACTTAATATTTGGTGCTGTTACCTTGTCTGGCGGTGTACTCGTTGTCCTCGATGAGCCTGGCCAGGCCAAAGTCAGCGATCTTGCACACCAGGTTGTCTCCAACAAGTATGTTAGCCGCTCGCAGATCACGGTGGATGTAGTTCATCCTCTCAATGTACGCCATTCCAGACGCGATCTAAAATCACAAAGGGACCAAGACAGAGCTCAGGCACATCGCGAGATTAGGCGTTTCCTTGAAGTGTGTCATAGTTTAACTCACCTGTGCAGCCATGTCCACCAGTTGAGGCAGCTTCAGATTCTGCCCCTCCCCATCTTTTAAGAAGTCCAACAGACTTCCTGAAAAACAAAGATGGTTGGGTCACGACTGGCCAGTCCCATTGTCTCATGTAGTTAACTCATATCTGCTACTTGCACACATTTTGCATCCTTATATATCTTAATGCAAACGTATATCTCTTTCCCTTTTTAGTGAATACTAAAGTAATGTTTTTCCCAGCAAGGAGGCGTGGTGGCTTGAATTCTACACTGTAAATTACAAATATCTACCAAATATGTCTATGAAATATTCAACACTGTATCTCAAACTGGTCGAAAGTTAGGACGTGGGCATATCTGATTTAGTTTTCTCTCTCGGAGAGCTCCTTTTTCAGTGGCAGTGAGTTTCCAACCAACTACATCACAGGCATGACAGTTTACTCAGCCCGATACCTTGACTCATGAACTCGGTAATAATGTAGATGGGCTCCTCCGATACGACGGCGTAGAGCTGCACCAGCTTGTCATGGCGCAGTCTCTTCATGATCTGAGCCTCCTCCAGGAAGGCCTCGGGGGACATGGTCCCGGGCTTCAGAGTCTTCACCGCTACCTTGGTGGTACCATTCCACATGCCTGGCACAGAGACAAGGAGATGTTAATGCACACGTAGCACATGGAAACACACAAATACGTACAACTCAGACATGAACACACATCTTCTGGCACACTGATGTATATGAATTTAGATGTAAACACATGCAAATGCTGTTTTTGAGAGCATGCATTACATGAGACAGAGTGATGTTAGGGATGGGGATCTTTCTAGTCTTACATGAATACCTTCAGGGAGAAGCTTTGCAGAAAATCTGACGCACTCGCATTTAGTCAGAGAAACTGTACGACAAACTGGTAGGACATTTAATTTGGAGAAAATCACAAGGGAATACCAAGCGATTCTGTAAAAAAAAATTTAAACTTCAGTAGCATACAGAGAAATAAATTACACGAAGCATCAGTAACAGACACTACGGTCGACAACGCTGGGCAGACAGTTCTCCATCTGAGCCTGCAGAGGGCGTCAAAGGTCGGTGGTGTCAGTCTCACCCATCCAAACGTCCCCGAAGCAGCCCTGTCCCAGCTTCCTTTGCATGGCCAGAGATTCCCTTTGCACCTCCCAGGCGTCACGCCCAAGGCCCATGGTGAGTGGGATGGAGTTGACACAGGGCATCGTCAGGTAATAACACAGCCCATCATTACTGCCTATCACGGGGAAGAAGGATGGAGTCGAGCAGGGTGGAGATGTAGGGAAAGGGAAGAGTGGAAGTGTGTCGGAGAACGGCATAAAAGGTTGATGTGATGAATGGGAAATGGAAAGGGAGATGGGGAGGGGGGGTGGGGGACAAATAGGTGAGGTGAGATGGAAGACATGCACATGCACCAACAGGGGGGGAGGGGAACAACTGTGCACACCTGGATTTAAAACAAAGCCACGTTTCTATTTATTAACGGCTGCCTCTGCAAATGTCATCACACACAAGGATTCATTAGGTTTTCTTTCCCACTGCTGCAGTTTAAAGAACTATTCCAGACTACATTTTACAACTCTGTGTGTGTGTGTGTAGCTTTTGTGGTCCAACCCATGTGTATATTTCTTGCAGGTAGACACTCTGAACAACACAGGCAGATAAACGGGGCTTTAAATTGTATGTTTGTGAGAGAACGGGTGTCTTCACACCAGAAGTGTCCCCGAAGGTCTGTCAACTAAACACAACCAAGACTTAAATGTATTACATGTACCTGCTCGTGTTTTAATAGTTTATTTTATCCAGGTGTGCTCCGGCTGTCACCTTCCCCCCACTGCAACACAGTTCCACCATTCCTACCCATCCAGACTTCTCCGAACTGGCCATTGCCCAGTTTTTTAATCAGCTGGAGGGATTCGCGGGGAATCTCCCACATATCCTTGGTCTTCACTGACAAATCGGCCAGCTTAGGCATGCCCCGCTTGCAGCTGCCAATCAAACGGCAGCAAAGTCCTGCCGCTCTCTCTGAGAGAGAGAGAGAGAGGAGAGACAAACAAGCAGGCGAAGAAAAGGGAACATAGCGAGAGAAGATAGAGGGGAAGAGCAGCAAATGCAGACATAAAAACACGGAACAAGACAGGTTGCTTATGCACTTAGAAGCACAAATGCTCAGGGCAACACAGACACACACACACACATTCAGAGCAACATCACGTAAAGATACAAAAAGAAATATGCAGATCGTGAGAAAAATATATATTTTAGTAAGTATATCTTGTGATGGTCACAATTGAGTTTTTGCTGTTTCAAATGCTTTCCACCAGGGGGCAGAAGTGCCGTGAGAGAGTGATGGGTGTAAACTGCTTGTTACATCAAGTTTAAACCCTAAGAAGAGAGCGGAAGAAGTAGTCAAATCCTTTACTAAAGTAAAAGTATGTACATTACAAATGAAAGTTCTGCACAAAAAATTCTTCTTCGGTAAAAGTATAAATCACAAACCTTTATAGGAGTGATAACTATTATAGAGCGAGAGGGAATGATTGGGCAAAGAGGCAAATTATGAAAGCAAGAGCTCGAAGCATGAAGGTCTGTCCGAAAACGGCAACACGAAAACAAAAAATTCCCATTGAAGAAGAAGCTAAATAACGCAAATGAATTCCTGTCCGTGTGTGCGTGCGTTACCTGTGTAGTGCTCCACCAGCTGCTGCACCGTGTCGAACTGGGATCTGGTTGTGATGTAGTAGCCACCATTGTCTAGTTTGCGGATCTTATAATGTTTGACGTGGTCCCCCTTGTTGTCGTCCCAGTCGCGGATCGAGAGGGAGTAAGCACCTGAAAGGAGGAACGAAGGAGAAAGAGGGAAGGAGACCAAAAGGGGAAGGGAGGATGGGAGGTTTGGACGAAGAAGCACGTTGTGGGAGTGAGGGGAGAGATAGAATGAGAAACTAGTTGAAAGTTATAGTATAGTTCTCTTAAAGTAATGTGTGTGTGTGTGTGTGTGTGTGTGTGTGTGTGGTTGCGCTTGTGCGGCCTCTTTACCTTTGGTGGTCTCACTCTCTCGTATGAGGAAAGTTCCCCTCTGGTTGCCTTGGCCCAGCAGCTGCCTCTCTGCATCCTTCCTCCCCATCTTCCCAAAATACCACCTATCACCATGACAACAACAACAACACACAGACAACTGCAACAACCGCAAGTACCCCATGACCTCTGCCCCTCGGACTACATTGAGAAATCTTTTGATGTAAACTGTAGTTAATCTGCAGCAGATGGGCTGTTTGTGTATGTGTGTGTGTCCTCACTCTTCGGCCTGTATAGAGTCGACAGGAGCTACGTAGTTGGAGGGGATGTAACCGGAGTGGCCTGTGTCCAAAGAGCGAGCCTCCCACCAGTCACCCTCTCTGCAAAAAAAAACACACTAAAAGTCAGTTTAGACAAAATACAGTGAGAAAAGGTTACAGACACCTCATTGTGGTTTGTTACGCAATAACAGTGTTAGGACACCTTTTAAAAGGTTCTAAATTAAAGGAACAAATGACTAAACTAATGTACGAAAAGGGTTAAAATGCAAAATGCTCAGAGTCGACATTAAAATAAAGAGAAACTGGTGTTGTTGATGAAAAAGAAGCCGAGGAGAAAATGTGTGAACAAATACTATAAACAACTCCACGTTTGAACAATCTCATTTTAGATTTCCTGAGTGAGACTCTTCTGACACTCTACAGTGTCAACGGCTGACATTCAATATATGCGGCATGTAATGAATTAGTCTTCTGGAGATTTCAAACATATAGTTAGCAGCAATTTATCAACTCCTGATCAATTTTGTCAAATATTTGAATGACAATATTGTTGTATTACTGTATTATTATCCTAAATTAGGGTTGTTTTCCCATTAAAAAAAAAAAATACCGCTGTGTTTGTGCTCACGTGTTGTTGATGATCTGGAATTTCTCTCCTTTCTGAAAAGTGAGGTCATCTTCGGTGCGGGCGTCATACTCATACAGAGCTATGAAGAGAGTGACTCCACCACCTGCATACGCGTTCGCACACACACAGACACACACAAAATAGAGACATAGGAGTTATCGTTTCCAGCTATACACACCGGTTTCAACCTCTGAACGGCTGTACTGTTTTAAATGATTAGGTTAATACATATTTTAAAAACTTGTGGTTGTGAAGGGAGCACAATACCAACGTAATAATAATGGATAACATGACATTCCTCTTAATATGCAGTGATGCATTCAATAGTTAGGTAGAAGCTTATATGAGGCTTCAGGAGTCTGAGTTACAAATCTTACAAAGTCAACGCAGAAACAACCGTCTTCTTTATAATGTCATCTCTTCACTGCATCGCAATATTTTACGGACACACAGACACAACGTCCTACTTGTTACGCCTCCAGGCCGCTGGTGTGTGTTGGTGTTGGGGAAGTTGGTGATGGTGGAGAAGCCCTTGTTGTAGTCCGGGATGGTCTGTGTGGGGTCGGGACAGTAACGTCCCTGGGTCAAGGCGGCGGACAGCCCTCCATCTGCGTTGCCGAGAGACAGATTTGCAGCGTCTACTTCTGCCGATGTTATCGCTGCTTTGGCGGACTTCTTCTGCTTGCAACAGGCACACCCCATAATAACCAGCACGGCGACGAGGTCTGTGAAATCAAGCAAAGTTAATTAAAAAAAAAAAAAAAAGCCATTTATTTTTAAATGTCAATTTGCTTGATGCTTCAAACTGTGTGCAGTTTATGAAGGCAGTACACTGCCATGTATTCATCTTTATTTACAACGATAACAACCAGAAAGGTTTGTTCAGAATAAAAAAAATCAATAAAAGTGTTTAATGGGATATAAATGGGAGATGTAGATTTAACTTCCATAAAAAACAATGGTGCTTTATTTGTCGTGGTGTTTGTCGAGGCTGCGATAAACCGATAAACAAGATCACTAAGACATCATTGGTTATTTTGCAGGACTATTTTTGAAGTGTCCTCAGAGGCTGAGCTGTACTGAAACTGAACTCATGCATGTACAGCAGGCGCAGTGCCCCTTGAATTAAACACACAGTATCGCTGCTTATGTTCAAAATAAAAGAAACGGAAGACTCGACTTAATCAATAAGTACTTTTAGAACATTTAGACTTCAAAAACAGGCTTACAGAAAGTGAAAGCAGCATGCAGAGGGTCACTCAAGTAGACAAGAGAACTTTTCAGAGAAAAGTTAACAATTTTAAAATAAAAGAGGAAGAGGAAGTGGAGTTTGAATGAGGTCAGAAGGAGAAGTTCACTTTTTCTCACCTGATGTCTTCCTCTCAGATCATCTGTCAATCAGCATCGCCACTAAAAGAAATAAAAAATAAAGTGACAAGCAGCGGAATGAGAGATCGGGCCAGCAGAGGACGAGGGGCAGAGCCCACGTAGAGGGGAAAGGCTGCAAAGGATGCGAGAGAAAGGCCGGAGAGCGTTAAAGCGTGAATAAAGTGACGCTTGAAGGGAGACACGAGGAGCGAGAGAAGTTTAAATAAAAAAAAAGGGAGACGCCTTCAGATAGAGAAACCACAGATACATGTAGGTTTAGCCCTTTCCCTTCCGCTTTTTGCAGTTTGGGGAAGGGTATCTCAGACGTCTCTCTGGTCAAAAGCTTTTTGTTTTTTAGTGGGGAATGTGTGGGGGGGGGGGGGGGGGGCTGAAAATGACAAATGTAGTCTGTTACAGACCATGTGAAAGGCTTTTTACAAAGATTATTGAGTAAAATAGATGTCCACATATATATATGCAATCCCAACTTCCAGTTTTGAGCAAACCACATTGCATCAACTGAGCTCTGCTGAGCCGGCATCAAGAGGAAATAACCACTGAAACACAGTATTGTCTAAACTACAGGAAGCGATAAGTTAGCTTAGGAAAGAAAGAAAAGCTTTAGAATATATATATATTAAATACATTTTAAAAAACAGTGACCAATTGCTGCGCTAGCTTCTAACTTTCTGTTCATTTTGAAAGCTGTTTTTTACATTTATTGCTGTTGACAATCCAATTCAGCAAAGTTTCAACTAAATGTGACATTGGGTCGAGATTTGCGGCTGTTGAATTAGACGGCCTCAGTGTCAGCGACTGTACGGCGACCCAACAAACGGGCCTGTGGATTCAAACTGGCAATCTTTCAAAGTAACCAAACTGCAGGCTGCCGCCTCCCCACCTCCTGAGGAATGTGAGGGAAGTCACACACACAGGAAAAACAATACAGGTTTGGGAAAAACAAAAGTAATTCATTTTCATTATAAAAAAACATCACCCCCCCGGTGAACAGCATCAGGTTCTTCTCGCCCAAAACACGAATTCCCACAAAATTCCTCTCGATCTTTGAAGCAACAGAGGCTATTATGGGCTATGTCCAAAATATGCACGCACACACACACACACCTCCATGCACATCCACACACTCATTCACTGTATCAGGTCGGCCCATCAGGAGAGCTACAGGAAGTTAGCCCTGTTAGAGTTTCCTGTCCACCCTTCTGATCCCTCCCCCCTTTTCCTGGAAACTGAGGACACAGTCCATCCACACACACACACACACACACACACGCACGCACGTACGCACGCACGCACGCACGCAGGCACGCACGCACATGCACACACACACACGCACACATCTTCCTCTCTATGCCCGCACCCCTCCAACCCTGACCTTTCATACTTTCCCCATCCAGCCTTCTACTGGACCCAAGCCGCTCACTTTCCCTGTGACGGACTTTAGGAAGGAGGAGTGACAGGGGAGAGGCCTCCTTCCTCACCTTCACCTCACCTCTTCTGCTCCTTGTCCACTTGTCCATCATCTCCCAGACGATCAAAAACAGGATCAGCAGCACAATAACATATAGTTACACGCGCACACACACACTGCGTACAGTCATTGTTCTCTGTTGGTTTCCTGTTGATACCATTTATGTCTTCCCCTCTACATACAGAAGCTGCTCCAGCACCTGATAATTCAGTTGACCTGAGGGGTTTACACATCGGGGGAACCAACAACGCTAAAGTCACACGCGCAGCAGAGCACACCGAACAATGTGAGGCCAAAACATGCACCTGTGCACTGACATGTGACCATCAATGGAGGGGAATTAAACACAGACCAACATGTATTTGTCTATTTGTCTAATCAAACATCAGAGGTACTTAGAGCAGTGAGTGGGGGTGTGTGGGTGTGAGCGTGTGGTGGGGATGGATGTCATGAGTTTCACATTGAAGGTGGCATACTACACTTTTACGTATGCGTTTTTTTGGCGTGTGCATGAGAGTCTGCTTCATTGCAGCAGAGTAAATCAGGAGTGCCTTCGCCTCTTGAAACTAAATAATGTAAATGGGATAAGGCGTGCAAGGCGAACACTCGCACACCGCAGTTTTGGAAGACTTACTTGAATTAAATGTAGAGCTGTATTGTTATCTGCGTGTGCATAAACAACAAAATTAACAAACAGAACGCAATGTTGGATTAAAAAGGCTCTTCCGCCGTGTGCACGTTGCATTCCAACCGACCTCAAACATGTTTAGCCTTTAGACTTTACCCATCATGCATCATGTCATTGATGCCTCTTGCTACAATACAGCCCCAAAACACAGCAGCTGTCAATCACATTCGTTCCCACAGAGATAAAAGCATTTCCTCTGTTTGCCGTTTGTGAAATCTTCACCTACTTCACTGGTTGGTCGCTTACTTTCACAGCAGCTGGTAAGAAGAAACAATAAGAATACAAAAGCAGCTTTAGTAGTTTGGTATTGATTGTTGAATAAAAGTATGCGTGCACATCAGCACGGGTTGATACTTCCATTTCACTAGATGATGAGCTTCAACTCTTATCAAAGGTTTGTCCAGCGTTCTTATAAAATCACAATAGCGTCACCCTCCATCGTCAAACATCGAAATCCAAGTGACACACCCTTTCCTGAACGGTGGAGAGCAGATAAGCTGCTCCCAGCGGGGAATTCTGCGCGGGAACACAGAGAAACACACACACACACACACACACACACACACACACACACACACACACACAATTGTTCAGACCTGTCGAGTTTTTGTACTTCTACGTCAGCTCTTTCCAGACTTTCTCCAATCCTCCCCTGTTCTGGTTTCTCCATCCTTTTTCTTACCTTTCTTTCTCTTTTCTTTCTGAATCTCCCCCCCTCCCCTCCCCTTCCCTCCTCACCCGCAGGAAGCCCTGCAGGATGCAGAGGGTGAGTGGAGCAGGAATGATAAGACAATGGGACGCAAGCTGTCACAGAACCTCTCACGCACAGCGCACACTCAAACAGGGTCCAAACACACACTCAGAAAGGAACTGGAGGACAACTGGAAAGGGCGGGGGGGGGGGGCAATGGAAAAATAAGGTGTCCTGGTCCTCAGGACGTCCTGTTTTCACATGAAGTCATCATATCCTCCGAACGCAGGGGGTCGAGGTCACTGGTCCGAAGGCATGCGTGAGGGAGGGAAGATATTTAGGCTTGACAGCCCAATGCTGCCTTTCAAGCGGTTTAGGGTCCGCTCACTAGGGGGGCAACGCGGACAGCAGTCTCTCTCAGGTAGAAAACTGCCCCGCCCTCCCCCCGCGTTGACAGATGCAGCGGGAAGCCTCCGTCCAGATGTGTAACATCAGTCTGTAAGGCTCATCTCCGTCGCGCACAGCGCTCAGCTGCTCGCCGGCAGACCTGTGACGAGGCCGACGTCCATTTCCCAACCCCCGCCAGCCGAAAAGAACATATCCGCGCCCCCCCCCCCCCATTGTTCTTAAATAAACAGACAAACATAAACAAGGCCTTCGGTCATTTGGCAGCTTTAAAACACAAACAGAAAGGGTCCCTTTTACTTTGGGGTCGGGGGAGTCCTCCCTCCTTACAAGTCTTTCTCGTGGTTTCCTTCCCCAAGGATCGTTGGGTGCTCCAATGCACCGTTCTAGCCCTTCCAGCTTGGTGCTCTCCTCCAGTCGTCTCTCTTGCCAGGCAGCTGCTCTAACTTTTAAGCCCTGCTGTAAACAACTGGCTTAAACACCTACAGCTGGGTGTGCTGTGAGGCATTCTGGGGGCT